TACTTCAGATCTCTTGGCTCGTGTTGGTCTTACTAATTGCAAGGCTGCCTCTACTCCGATTGACCCTCAGACTCGTCTCACCCTTCTTGACGGTCACGTGTTGTCTAATGCTACTTTATATCATTATCTAGTTAGCAATCTTGTCTATCTCACGGTTACTCGTCCAGACATTTCTTATGTTGTTCACATTGTTAGTCAGTTCATGGTTGCTCCTCGCTTTCCACACTATGATGCTCTAGTTTGCATTTTATGCTATCTCAAAGGAACTATGTTTCATGGTCTTCACAACTCCGCTCACTCTTCCGTACAGTTACATACATTTTCTGATGCGGATTGGGTAGGGGACCCTATTGATCGCCGCTCTACTACAGAGTTCTGCTTCTTCTTAGGTGACTCTCTCATTGCTTGGAGTAGCAAGAAGCAAACTCTTACTGCTCGTTCTAGTACTGAGACTGAATATCGTGCTTTTGCTGACACTACTCAGGAGCTTGTGTGGCTAAAATGGCTTCTTTCTTACATGGGGATTTCTCATCCTACTGCTACTAACCTCTACTGTGACAATCAGAGTGCTATTAAGATTGCACATAATGATGTCTTCCATGATCGCACCAAACACATTGAAATTGATTGTCACTTCATACAACAACATGCTACTAGTGGCACTGTTCGACTTCTCTTTGCTACCTCTGCTAATCAAGACAGTAGATATCTTTACCAAGGCTCATCCCCCAAGACGCTTTTCTGACTTACTTTCCAAGCTCAAGTTGTTATATGCATTACCGCCTTAAGCTTGAGAGGATTGTTAAATATAGTATATATTCTATATACTGTTGTATTTACCATAATTACAGCATTACTGTATTTAGGTTAGGTTTTCCATATTTAGGTTTGTCTCCTCCTATACAAAGAAGTCTTGTACATTGTGTCATTTAATCAATTGAATACAAGAGTTTTCTCTTTTCTCTTCATTCCTCTCTCTTTATAATATCATAACATTTGTAATATTTGGTTGATATTGATACTTGGGGCAAAAGTTCTAAATGGAGGTTCCGTTTCTTTCTAGTTAGCACCTGATAAAGCGTGGCGCATTGAGATAAATTTTGTTTCATTTCGGTTGGCGCCCGGTAAAGCATGTATCGTTGAGCTATATAGAGGTTCTGTTTCATTCTGGCTAACAATCAGTAAAGTGTGGCATGTTGAGACACGTTCCAGTGTCCTTTCAGTTAGCTCCTGGTAAACTGTGTCATGATGGCTTGATGAAGTCGAAATTGATGTATGTGATTGTCATATTTTATTTTATGTATGTGCGTAATTGTGTTGAGGCATGGAATGTAATGGAGACGTAATAGATAATCGTTGCTCTTCTAGACATATGACCAGTAAATGTGGAAATGACGTCAGTAGTAATTGTGGATTAGTAGGTAGCTCTTTGAGATTATCTTCGTTGTGGACTGCTAGATGTGTACTTGGAATTTATTTTAATTATGCAAGTTATTAAAATTCTTCAAATTGTAAAGAGTGAAATGAAATGTTAATGAATGGTATTTTCTAGGAACAATGTTTACTTGTGTATATTTATTTTGGATTTTGAAAGAGCATATTAAGTACATATCATGTGGAGCATCATGATTATATACATGTATAGGATTATATTGATTAGAATTATTAGGATTTTTACTGAATTATATGTTCATCTCACATTGTTTAACATTTTTCAAGTACATGTTTAGAAGATTGTGTTCGAGCTTGAGATGCTCTCTTTCCGATGATTTGGCATCAGCCAGAGGGCCTTTTACTTGTGGAATGAATGATATATTTTTGTAACGAGGGTTATACCTTTCTCATTCATGTTCATGTAAGGGCATTTGTAAATGTATTGTACTTAATGAACATGCACATGCATGCGAGAGAGGACTGTTATTAGTATTTATTTAAATTAATATTGTAGCTTCCGCACTGTAATTTATAAAAAGGAATTATGATGATGGATTAGAGCATCTCCAACGGTGACTCAAATTTTTCACCAAATTTGAGTCAAAAATGACCCATTTCACTAAATTGATACCACTCGTTCCAACGGTTCACCTTTCACCAAATCTATCCCGGGACAACCGGGTGGTCGACCGACCGGTTGACCGATTAGGCAAAATTTTTTTTTTTTTTTTTTTAACGGTTTGAATTTTTTTTCCTGAACTGTTTGAATCTTTTACTGGTTGACCGGTTGGTCAACCGGCCGGGCAACCGGCTGGTTGACCAGTGTACCTCTTTCAACGGTTAGTAACAGTGATTTGGTAAAATCTGTGTCTCGTTCTCAGTTTGATACTTTTTTTACTGAAATCTCATTTTGATATCAATCTGGTGCAACGGTTGGAGCTTGAAAAAGTAGGTTTTTCATCAAAATTTGAATTTGATGATGGGTTTGGTTCACCGTTGGAGATGATCTTAGTAATGTGAATTAGGTTCTAAAATACGGGCATGATAGGTTGTGACATATTTTGGTGTTAGTTATGACTCATTATGGTATTTGTTATAACTTATCTATGATTTTTTATAGCTGTTATTTTGGTTATAAACCTTGATTACAACTCATTGTAATGTTAATATTATGACTTAATTATGATCTATTGAGATTATTTTTAGGTTATGATCGAAGATATGATATTTGGTTATTATTTTTTGTGGTCATTTTAGTTATAATTGAAAATGATTTGGTTGTAACACTTATCATAACTTGTATATGATACACCCTTTTGGGGAGTGTATGATAGAATGACTCATTTTAGTAGGATCTTTCTAATTAGAAATAAAATCTTTAATAGAGAGGCACTATTACAATTTTATAAAGGATATATAAGACATATGTTATATATATTAGGGTACTAGTCAGTGTATTTGATTTGAGTTTTCTGTATTAAGTTTTTTGAAAATTGACTTTTTTGATTTTCGTGTTTTTTTGTTTTTAGTGAATATTTTTTAAATTTTAAACATTTTTTTTACTTTTTTAGATGTACCTTACTTAGATGTATCTAAAAAGTAAAAAATTTGTGAAAAAATATTTTAAAAAATTAATAAATACATAAAAATACAAAAAAATGTACTGAATTCTTGTATTTTTTTGTATTTTTGGTATTTAGTGAATTTTTAAAAGATTTTTTTACAATTTTTTTACTTTTTTTGGTGTATTTATGTTAGATGTGTCTAAAAAGTAAAAAAATTGCTTAAAATATTAAAAAAATTCAGTAAAAATAAAAAAATACGAAAAATAAGAAAGTATAATTTTTTGAAAAGTGTTTTCTGAAAAGTAAAAACAAGCAAGGTGAGAATTTTCAAAAATCCAGGGACATGTGACCCCTGGTCTTACAGTAAATTCGTCCCTGACTAGTCATTTGTTTCCTATTTTTAGATTTTTTCAGTTACCAAAATTACTTGTTCTCCAAGGTTTAAGTTATTATAAATAATCATGTAATTTTTTTCATTTTATTTATTATTTTTTTTTTTGTGAATTTAAGGTTTTATTTTTTCTTGATTCGAGAGCCTTTTCCCTCTAAAATGATATTTAGTTCTTGCATGTATTCCGCTTGGCACGCAAAAAGGGATGAAGCCAACAGTAACTGTCAAAAAAAATTGATTTTATTGTAGGTGAAATTTACAACGTGCACTCTTTTAAATGGTATACATTGTAAAAAAGTTATGATTTTTTATAATGAATATTATGATTGTTTGTAATATATGTTATGACATTTTGTAGTAAAGTTATAAATAGTGAATTTATGATGCGCACCTCAAAGTTAAGAATGATAATGTTATGACATTTTGTGATTTTTGTTATGACACTTTGAAATTTTATTATGACGTCTTTCAATAGAAAAAAAGTTACGATTTTTATAGTGAAAAAGTTATGACACTATGGGTTTAAGTTACTAAATTTTGTGAAAAAGTTATGAAAGGCATACCATATACACCTTTTTGAGGATGCACATTGTAACATCTCCCATTTTACCTTTTTTGTGGTTTGATTATTTTGCATTTCACGTCAATCGGATATCGTTGGCATTTTCATCAAATCACATTTGTATTTTAAAAAATAAATAAATAAATGTAATCTGAAATATAAAACTCAATGCAAATGTGATTTGACGAAAGGGTTAACGATATTCGATTGACGTGATTTTTTATTGATATATTCTACTCGATAACTTCTAAAATATGAACGGTTTAGATTATCGAATTAGGCCTTAAAATGGGCCCAATAAAGTGTGCAACACCAAACTCAATCAAAAATAGCCTCATCCGAACACATAAACAAAAGAAAAAGAAAAAAGAAAAAAAAGAAAGGGTTTTGTACGATCATTTGCTCCATAACCTTGATTAGGTAAAACATTACAAGAACATATAATAATTATTGATGGTTGGTCCCCTGGATGGTTGATTAAAGATGGCAATAAAATGATTTCTATCCAAGAAAAAAATAATCATAATTAAACAAAAGAAAGAATCTTGTGAGAACATTTTCCCCATAACATTGATTAGGTAAAGAATTAAAAGAATCATTGTAATCTGTGGGTTTTTTTTTTTTTTAATACAACTAATTTGTAATTTTGGTTCAAGTTTAAGAATTCATAATTTTGCAATTCAAGAATCGTGGGCGAAGATGCCGATGGACCGGCTAGGCTTGAGAATTTTACAGAATTCTACTGAAGTTTAAAAGCCATTTGTTAATGAAATAAAAGAAATGAAATTATCAATATGTTTAGTTTATAAAGAGACTATCTCTTCTTCCTTTCTTTGTTCTGGCATGCTCTTTTATTATCTGCACTTGGAAGTCACTTATGATTAACAAAATAGCTTTTAAAATTTACAGTACCATTATTAACATACTTATGCCGTTTAATCGTGGTTTAATTGCATTGTAAGAGCCACCATTAGAGTTTTAGGCTGAGAGAAGTTGAGGTTGAAAATCGAAATGCCTTAAGATAACAATTCATTTTTGAAGACATTGGTTGTGAACACTTCAGAATTTTGTATTCCACATTTTGAATTTTTTGAGCTAAAAATTACACTAGCAACAAAATCCTGTTGACACAAAATCTTGTGACACATCATCTCTTTGCAATCTTTAAACACAACATTCATGTACAAATTTCTCACCCATTTTTTCCCTCTGATTCTTATGTTGTACTTATTCTTTGTTATCTCTAACAATAAAACATCACATTCTTCACCTTCTCCTTTAAGGCGGGTAGTGGGCGGATGCATGGACCATTAACTGTACGAGTAGCACGCATTGAAGCATTCTCATGCACATGTGGTTCCAAGTAGAATCTAGCTCGATAGGCTGCCAGATGAGCATAATACGCGGGTGGCACTGCACGAAACATGTAAATTTACATGATTGAATACATTGACACAAAATCTAGGCTCTACCATGTGCATTACTGTCATTCCTATATAAGGGTAGAGTTAAAAGGTTACCTAGAGAAACAGATCGAGTGCACCGTGCATATCTACAACAAAAAAGTTCACCAGATTAGTCATTGTGAAAGGATGAGTGCATTGTGGTAAAAACAAGAAAGAGCGGAGGATACTCTTACGTATAACACAGGTTGTTCGTCAGAGATTGGATCTCATCTGCACTAAAATTGTTCTCATCCCAGAGAACATGATAATGAGCTGGTCTGCTGGTTCCCTGCGAAATGTTAATCCCAACCTCTATTACTTGGAACATGGTATGCCATATGCTGTAATATGTGATAGAATAAGCCAGTACTATAGAAATTTAATCTATTTTTACAACACTTTTTAGCAATCAGACATCAAATACATTTAGTTATCCCAAATGTATTTTGACACGATTTTTTTTTTCTTTCAAATTAATCATGTGAAATACATTTCCATGAGCATTATGACATATATATATAATGACAAAACTCCACTCTGCTTATATTTTAGTTCATTACATTTGTTTTTCTTTGCTAGCTCCTAAGAAAAATATATTGGCAAAAAAATAAATAAATAAATTTGGAGTTCCCTTGAATCAGTAAATTCACCATTTTGGAACAAAAGTATAACCATGTTTTAGAATATGTATACCAAAAAGAAAAGTGCTAGAGAATTAGTGTTTCCTTGTAACATTGATCCCAGCATATAAAAATGATTGCCATGCTATGCAATTATGTCAAAACCAACCCCTGTGCGCCAAACGTCTATGAAGGTTCATTAAGGAGTCATACCTGTATCCCAGCATGACTACATAGATAGAAGTCAAACTCTGTAGGATGACAAATTTTAGTATCCACCACAGTACCTACAATCAATAACGACTCATAAGTTCATACATCCCAATATTTATTCAAGCAGCAATTCCGTGACCAAAGCAAAAAGCTAGCAAGCCCATCACAAATTTTAGCAACTACAAGGTGTGAAAAATCAATACCGGGTAAGATATTCCCACTCTTGTCGATGCTAGTTTTGTCGTTGTGGTTGCTTGCAAAAAGTCGAGTGTGGTGGCGCTTTTGGACAACAATGAATGTCACCGGAGGTTGGTAACTGGATTCAAGTGATGCACACGCCTAGAAACAGCCAGGTCATAAGCATAGAAGTTTGGTTAATGATGAAGATAGTAGGGGCTAATTATGTGGGAACCAACCTTACGAATTGCATCGAGTTCATATAGTAGAACCTGATAGAACTGCCCATCACTAACGCCATCTCTACAAATGTAATTGATGGGGAAAGGAAAATGCAGCATCAGTACGAAACCTTGAGTTGTAGCTAACGACAAATCATGAAGACAAAATACAATTCCTTTGCTTATCTACCTCTATCCCAACCACAAAAACAAAACAATAATAATAATAATAATAACAATAATACTGTACAAATCAACGGGAAGGGAACTGTCTGTGAAAAATTGGAGTATGGTTACCTGTAGAATATTATTCTCAACGGTTTTTGTCCAGTTGCCTTTTGAAAGGATAGTAAAAGCTCTCTGCATTAGAAAACTTGTAATTGTCACATCGATTACAATATAAGCTAAGTCTATGCTATTTGGTATCTACAAGAAATACTACTGTGACCACTTAAGAACAAAAATAAAAACACCCTTTCATTGAACATGTTTAAAACAAATGAGTCTATACTTTCAATTGTTCACCGAAAACATTAAACATGTTTATATTTATTTTTTAATATTACAAAATAAAAACATATTCGGTATACATGTTTTCAAAAACTTGTTTTAGAAACAAGTGAGGGTGGTCGGAGGTCAGCAGCAAGAGGTGGTGGCAGAAGGTAGTAACCGTTCGATGCAGGTGGTTGCTGGCGGCCAAAATTGGTAGCCAGCGGCAGAGGGCAGTGACTAGATGTGGTGGTCAAAGGGGTGACCGTAGTGGTGGTTGATGGACGAAGGGGGTGAAGGAGGGAGGAAGGAGTGAAAGCTTATTTTCAAAACAAGTCAAAACACTATTTTGTTTATAGAACTTAGTACACTTTTGAAACTGTTCACATTTTTTCGGAAACCAAAATAGACAACAAATAAATTTTTCTTTCGAGTTTTAAATTTTTTTGAAAACACAAACAAACAAGTGTAAACATAAACACTACCATATCAGATTGGTTGTAACATGACAATTGACCACACAACACAACTAAAGTCACGTGAAATTTGGAGTGAGTCTTAAATATGTACCTAATCATGCCACCACCAACCGTGCCCCCTTGAGGATCTTGCCAAGTTTTGTACAAATCTTGAATAAGTTCTTGCCGATGAGGCTGTGTGCAAACTAAACCAGCATACTTTGTAACTTCCGGCCAGTCCTGCGAAGCTACAACCTGTACCAAAGCAATTGGAACAACCTTAAACACTAAACCAACTAACATAGCTTTCAAGTTTTTAAAAAAAAAAAAAAAAAAGTTCGTTATTCTTACAGCAGCTATTGATGGACTACAGTCCTCCCCAGTTTTTAAAAAAAAAAAAAAAAAAAAGTTCGTTATTCTTACAGCAGCTATTGATGGACTACAGTCCTCCCCAGACTCTGGATGAGTTACATCAGCTCCAAATATTATTGTCGGAATGTCACTTACTAAAGGAATTCTCCAACTTAAAGCGTCTAAGAGCACATTATTCCTTCCCCCCATCTAAAAATTAAAATTAAACATAAAAAATAAATAAGAAGGGAATAAGAAGAAGAACCGTGAATCCGATCTTGTGGAGATTGAATCTGTAGTGGTAACGAGAAGAGAGAACACAATTACTCATCTTTACCTTGACATTAATCTTAAGTGACAGGTTTGCCAGGTACTGTCTGCTAATCTTTAAGACATGTTTGGTAAGACAGCATTGTGAAATCAACCCCAGCTCTGTTTCACAAATTCGTTTCAGATCGCCTGAAGTAGAAGCATGCTAATTTTAGTCAATGAAACTTCACAGCATACCAAAAAAATTCAGTTCCTAATATATGAGATACAGAATTGAAAAAAAAAATTAAAAACCAAAAAAAAAAATATAAATTACAGCGACGTGCTTTTCACTTTTTTAAGAACCAAAAATAGAAATTGCAGTCATTGATACAACATATTAATTTGAGATTAATCATCCAAGATCCATGACAACATAGATGCACAAGGGTATGTTTATTGTTAACAGAGAACATACAGATGTATCTGCACTGTCAAATTAATTTTATTACATGATAAAGAAATGCAAAATAACACTATTTCCTAAAGTTTAAAAGAAGGATTAATTAGGTATAAATCTACATTATTTTTCTTTTATCACCGTATCCTAGTTATTTTGTGTTTCACATGTATCCAAGCAATGAACATAAGTATTCTCCAAGTGTCCGAAGCATATCCAGAAAAAAATGTATAAAGTAAGTAGGACACATTTGGACTATATCACACACATGTTGGAAAGTGTCTGATGAGTGTTGGTATAAAACACAAACACACCACCTCCTTCGAAGTGGTTGTGCTTGTTAGTCTATATTCATCTAAAGTGTACAAATTACAACAAATAGCCACATACCATACAAAGAGCCATTGTTGTCCGGAAGAATGGCAATAAGTAACTCTAACTCCTTCCCTCCATGGTTATTTGCAGCTGCACTACATACATATTTCAAAGCCTTCTTTACCTGATCCGGTCTTGCTGAGTAGATAGGAATTACAGGCTCAAAGTTGAATTCCTGAGGATAACAAATCAACAAAATCTAACCGTCAGCACAACACTTTAAAAAGCTTAAAAACTGAACATAAAAATTACATAAAGTCAATCAATCCTGCTGCAGCTGAAATTTTCCCAGATTAACAAGCTTACCATGCCGGAGCCTTGGCACATCTGAGCCAACTGATGACAAAAACCTCGAACTGCACTTTCTTGGACACTTCGTGAGAAATTGATACACGCCCAGTAATTTACAGTACCTCCATTTATCACTTTCTGCATTATTACAACAAGATTAAATTTCCTTAGATACCAATGCATGGTGAAATTCTAATAGCTTCCTTGTACAAATGTCATGTTACCTTATTCATCATGTTCCACTGACCAACTTTAGGTAAAAACTCTTTCTCTTTCCCGTTATCATTGTATTTCAGCTATTAAAACCAAAACAGTGAACAAATGATAGTTAGTATAGAAAACAGATGTCATGGAATTGGATGCTGTGGAGGAAATACCCATGGGGCTGGAAGAACGCGAGCCTCAACTGATGTAAGTTTGTCATCAATACTGATGCCAAACTCTTTTGCATAAGGATCTTGGTTATATCCGTTTTGGTGCATTGTCTGAAAAAATACCAGAATACTTCAGCTTTATGTTCGTCACTGCTCTCTATCTAAATATCAAACACATGTTTCTTTTGGGTTATGAAAATAACTGTTCCCTATATCGTGTCGCAAGTAATTAGACTTGAATGAAGCGAGAGTCCGTGAAGGGTAATGTTTTCAAAATATGTTTACTTTCTTCCTTTTTTTTTTTTTTTCAGAAAACTAAGTACTAGTTTAGTGAATAAAATGAAAAAATAAAAAAACACTAATATTATCGTATGATTTTACCTTTTTTAGGAAAAAATTATTTTTTTAATTTTAAAAATATATTGTGTTTATTTTCATCAAACTAGCTTCTATTATTTGGAAGGGGGGAAAAAGACTTTGAAAACAACCAAACAGAGTTCATGTGACAGAATCTCAAGGTTTCCACAAAAAATGAAGGAGCAAGCAACTAAAAGTGATCCATATTAATTAGATAGTTTCAAATTTCAGCCTTCAAATCCTTGTTTTTATTAAAAGAAGCAGAAATGAATCCAATAATTGAAGATGCAAACCTTCAAAATGTCCATTTCTTGTTCTTGAGGTCTTTGGCATGAAAATTTTAACAGAGAAGTTATTTGCTTATCATTCAGCCTCTTTGTGTATCTCTGCCCGTCAACTATCTTGCAAGCCTGAAAAAATATGGCAAGATACTGATAATTAAGTACAGAAAACTTAACTTTGCATCACTAAATTGAGAAATTAACTAGAGCCTACCTCCATTGGCAAATAGTTCACTTTCCTTGGATTTCCCACTTGGAGGCAAGGTAGATGGGGATGTTGAATGGTAAACCCATACACCTCTTGAAAGTATTCAACAACCGATTTCATGTTCTTCTCCTCATCAACTGGAAAACTTAGGAAGGAAAGAAAAGAAAAAGATAACTACCAGTATAGAAGAGAGGGAGGGGATAATGGAACAAAAAATGAAGACTAGGAAGCATAGGTACTCCAAAATGAGGGTTGTATCCATGTCTCACATGTGTTGGACACCAACACGGCAATGAACATGTAACAGTTTGTTCGGGTGACCGCTCATCTAGTCGCTTGAGCGTAGATGCGCAGCTCCCAGTGTCTTGCATGTTTGCAGGCGAGATTGCTCGAGCGATGGAGTGGTCACTCGAACGCAAAATTTAGGCTCCCAGTATTTCCACTATAGCTCTACAAAACCTTTGGAACCTTGCGTTTACCGCTTGAGCGGTGAAAAGCTCGCTCGAGAGGTCTAGTTGGGACAACTTCTTTAAAAGTCAACCACACACTCTTCCTTCTCACCTTTTCCAACTTTTCTCTCTCTCTAACACCCATTTCCGAACCCTAACCCTAAAAACCCTTGATTTCCTCAAGTTTTACTTTAGATTCACCTTAAATCCTTCAAGAAAAGTGAAGAGCAAACTTGATTTGAGATTCTCACTGATTGGATAGTGTTTTTGATCAACTCTATTGTTAGGTCTTCATCTCTTAGCTACCATTTCGAGGTAGGGGATATTTTTAACTTGTTATATTCTTGCTTTGAGATTTATATGTGATAATTTCTTAGTTATAACAATGTATGGGATAATTTGTTAAATGAGAGGAGTTTTGAGAAATTAAAGGGGATTTTTCCCATGTTTTGAAACAATTTATACATACCCTTCTTGATTATTGCTAGAAATTGTGACTATTGACCTTGTATACACAAATGAGGAGAAAGCCCCAAATTTTATGAAACCCTAGTTTTCGAATTGAATTGATGAAGGGGATTTTGTTCAATTGACCCTTGAATGGTGAAATTGAAGGCATTGAGCTTACCTTGGCATTGAGATATGGACTTCTTTTATAACTTGTGGAAATAAATTCTTGAGATTGGGAGATGATGACATTGTGCAATTGAAGAATTTATTATGCGATAAATAATATTATTAATGTTGTTGTGGATTGAACAAACTTTAGGGAAAATTTATTTGAATACTCATGCATCATGTGTTTCAAAAATTTTCATGTTATTTAACTATCTTGTGGATATTTGGAAAATGTCAACGAGGGTAAATAGCATGAGTTTGGGTAATTGAGTCGCGTTTCGGGAATTGAGTTGTGTGTTGTATCTATACCCACGCACGAAGTCAAGGTGCCCAATTGCCCTGTCTGCGCATATCGCTGGACCAATATGGGAAGGGTTTTCAGGTGTCCACGAGCCTGCCATTTATAGAGAAACTTGATTTTGGGTGTCCACAAGCCCTCCATTTTAGGAGTCGGCAAAAGTGGAGAGAGAAAGATTCTGGGTGCCCGTCGCCCCGCTATTATTAGAGTCAACAAATGTGAGAATATTTTCTGCATATAAATCTATATATGTATGTATGGTTTTACAGCTCTTGCTTGGGACGTCATAGCGTATTTACCACCCCATGGTTGTAGATGAGACTTTGAATGGAAATCATGCATTGAACATTTGTGCAAGATATGTAAACTACAGGTTAGTACACGACAGAAAACCCGGATGTTCGTGAAGTGTCCTAACCATATACCATGTCCATGTCTGTGTCCATGCATCTTATAATGAAGTTTAAGTGCAAGATATGTACATAAGTTCCCTTGTTGGCTGAGATGTCAACCCTGCAATACGATACTTCCTTCGCATGTTTCCCCTGTGTGTAACTTCTACTTTGATACCTCTAAGGGCTTTCTTAACCTGTTCAACATCCACATAACAAATTGGTTAGATATTGCCGACTTGTCTTCCATTTCCAAAAAATTTTTTACATTACTTTTAAAGTGTTTAGCTAGAAAAAATGATTGTATCAAATCCAATGGTCAAAATGTCATTTTATATGCACATGATTTCAGTCCTGGACAGACAAATGAGTGATCTTGGGGCTAGTTGATGCTGAGAATGTAAACAGCCCCAGCTCAAGAACTAGTCCATAATTTAAAATGTACACAAGAAGATGAATTCCAAAAGAAATTGCAACCAAAAATATTTTCTAAAAAATTTAAAAAAAAGGTAATAGATCAGATGACAGGTAAAAAGAAAATATTTTTTAAAAGAAGGAAAGAAAATTGTAGCAACTAAGCTAGAGGAGTTTCAAACAATACACACACTGGTGTTAGTGTCCTGTGTCAGTTGAAAATCCACACTGCAGATGTGCACTAAGTCATGATATCCTGAAGCATTCAATCTAACCAACCTCATGGCTGGCATTAGTCATGACTGAGATAACAACTAACATTAGCTAGACTTCAAAGAATTTCTGATTTCTATGCCTGTCATCGTGGGCTATCATGATTTGATAAGCTGGATTTAGAAAAAATAAAAAATAAATAAAAAGGAACAAATTTGGATGTCACTTGTGAAATTAAATTCATAGACCAGTATTTTTATATGCAGCACTTAATTCCACTTTCAAGGCACAACTGAAATTTCTAACTCCAAACAGGTGAAGTGAGATGTAAAAACAACAAATCTGAGCGAAGTCCATTGAACAACTAAATTTCTGCTTAATTAACAGTGTCATTGTCATTTTACTTGCTTTTTTGGGATATATACTAGTCCTTAGAAGAAATGGCAACTTTGTGTCTGCAACTTATGATATTATACCTTAACACGATCTGCATCCGATAGTGGCCTTGAATAAACATCTTTACCCAAAATTTGAGCTACAAACTCAATAACAGGCAGTGGTTCAATGAATGCGGTCGCTGACATGTCTGAACAAGAAGATTCAAAAGAAAATGATCCTGAGTAATAACAAATATGAGATGAATCAAAACTAAATGGAGGAGACTAATCACCTACCAATATTTAGTGACAACCCCATCTGGGTAGGTTTTATACTCTGGTAGAAACCACGCCATGACTGTAAACCGTTGCCAAGAGGCTGTGGTCTGTTAATATTGGGGGAATAGAAGAATCTCCCAACTGAAACATACCTACAAGTATATATCCAGATTAAAGCATAGCACACAATTCAAAAATCAAACATAAATTCTTCAGTTTAATTTCAAATTGAAAAACCAAGATAATGGGAAAAAAATTAAATAAAGAAATAAAAATGAACCAGTGGAAGGTGCACCTTTGGGCTGCAAGCTCCCTTAACACAATATCAATGATCTTAAGCGCCTCTAGAGGAGTATCTACTTGTTTCCCAGAAAGAAGTTCACGCAATTGATGCATACTAGCATGAGCTCCAAACTTGATTGTTACTTCAAATTCTCGTTCCCTGACATAATTGGTTAAAACATACTCAAAACTTCACCGATCAATTATTACATAAACAAGACAATACAAAATAAGGCATTGTCACCTAGCCTCATGGGTTGGGACAGGTTTATCAAAAAAAAAATTCTTTTTTTAGGCTCTCGGGTTGTGAGTTTTTTTTGTAGGGTCTAAGTGAACGTTTTGTGAGCTCCTTGGGCGAGAAGAAGCTTGTTTGCCCTCTGGTCTGTCTGTTGAGCTCCTTTGTATCGTAATAAAATTCTTAGTTGCCAAAAAAAGAACATATAATAAGTAGCAAAATTGTTAAATCACTTACTTTGCCATGCCTATTGACTCATCTCCGTCTGCCAATATTATGGTAAACTTCTTCAAAGTGAAAGGCATTAGCCCGGCTGTGTAAAGCGCTCCTCTTCCATCATAAACAGGCAGCATCCTCCCCAAGTCGGTATCTCTATGAAGCTTCACCAACTGGGCCATTATAGCTTTGTTCAATTTAGTTGAATTAACTTCTGGGATAATCTTAACCTGCACCAAAAAGTATTAAATTAAAAAAGCTATAAATATCCCAAAGATTAATGAAAACTAAGGCCATTCCCAATGCTAAATAAAATAAAAAAAAAAACCAGCCCAGTGCACTAGACTTCCACCACTGCAGAGTCTAGGAAGGGTCAGATGTACACAGTCTTACCTGCAAATAAGGAGACTATTTCCATATTTTGAAGGGATGGGCAGAGACATAAACAAGAACTTACACTATACTGAGTCAAGTCCCCCTCTGATATTTCAGCTAGAAAATGATTGGCTTTAACCAAACACTTGGTACCCAGTTGGCCATAGCCGGGCCTTCTGTGTAACACGAGGCTTTTGTTCGAAGGAGGCGGCTCTACATTGAATATTTCAGGCTTCACATTGTGTGCAGTTTCCATTTTTGATCCTTTCGCTGATCGTCTCCTTCCCCTGCCGCTCCCTTCAATCTTATTTGCATCTTCAGAGCTCTCTTGGGATAGTGAATGCTGATTCATTGAGTCCTGTAATGGCCTCCTGGAGATGACATGCCTTTGCTCAGGCTCTTTGGGTTGCCAGTGGGGCATTTTATCAAGCAATCAAGAACCTTCACATATTTCATTTAAGTAAGCATCATAAGATCTCACACACACAAACATATATAAAGAGAGTTGTGATATACAAACGAAAAAAGTACACAGAATTTGCAAACAAAATAATGTGCATTAATTCTAACTTACCATTTTAAAACAAATTACTCATTAAAATGACTTTTAATTACAGAAATGTCGCCATCACATTATTTCGGTGACAAATTATGTATGAATAGCACTTTTCATATAGGATCCTAGTGATGACTGCCCATTGAGCGTTCATTAAGGACCAAATAATGCCAAAAAAATATAATGGAATTTCAATCCACATTTCACATATTTCAATAATTTTTTACACATTTCCCATATATATATATATATATATAGAGAGAGAGAGAGGGAGCGAAGGTAATGTGTGATGACAACAAAATAGCACCAACTAGGTGTTGAAAGGTAATGGCATGACATTTTTCTCGTGTACTTTGAGAATCTTGAAGAGGGTAAGGACTAAGGGGATGAACATAGGCAAATGCAATAGGAGAGAATCAAATCTCCACAGTATTTCTTTTCTTATCAGCACTGTTATTCTCTGAAAAGTTTTTTAAGGCAAAAAAAAAAACAGTGAAAGAGACATGCAAAGCAAACATCCTTGGGGCAAAGTGCAATAAGTAATAATTACCCAAATTAACAAGAGCACAAAATAAGAAATAAAGGTATATTTTTAATATACGTACCATATTAGTCTATATAAATCGGGTATTTATCCTTCTGATACCAATGCACCCTCATATACCAATTGAAAATAAAATAACATTATGTATCAGTTCTTGATACACAATGATTCATAGCTGATTCAAATCCAATAGGACCAGCTCACACCTCATACAACCAATTTTAAAAATTCACTATCGCGATACCTAATTCAATACTCCCAATACTGATTTGTCTGCCGACAGTGCTATTTAAAATCATGGCATATACACATGCATATGTATGTTTGTATAAAATTATATGTATGCATTTATTTGCAGCACTGTTTAATCTTCCCCTTTTGATTCTTGCATCAAGACAAGTACAAACTCAAAAGTATATAATGGACCACATGGAACTAGTCTATCAATTGTTTGATTCTATGCATGAACCAAAAATATTCAAAGTTTACTATATGTATGATACCTAAATCAAGATACACAACTCACAAGCTTCAACATTCAATCACAAGCTTCATGGTGACAAGGAGTTCAAGCCTGCTGTACCGAACTAGGAGACTTGTACAACAGCACAATCTTACACAAACTTTAGCAAAGCCTGCTATTCTCAAAAATGAATAATTTGTAAATTTAAAAACAAAGAAACCAATCATTAATAATATATTTTGGCATATAGAATTTTCCTAAAAGTGGGTCCCACTTGTCTATTCATATAAATTTTGTGTTCGGTTTCTGTGTTATAAGTGGATCAGTCAAGAAATATTGCATTGCAAACAACATGCATGTTTTGGTGTAATTTCTTATATGTTGAAAGTTATTAATAAAAAAAAAAAAACTAAAATATACTATTTTTTCTATTTCTCAATATTTAGTTTTTCAACTTATTTAAACTATTTATACCTGGTAACAAACTATACCAAATTATTCAGCACAAATTTAAATAACAAATAAAAAAAAACCTATAAGCAACCCCATAAATTGCACAATATGGCTAGGTATATATATGGATGATGAGTTTGTCTCTTGTGAATAGACAAACCCCATAAATTGCACAATATGGCTAGGTATATATATGGATGATGAGTTTGTCTCTTGTGAATAGACACCAGTGTACGTACGGATCATAGGTTTGTCTCAAGTGAATGGACAAACCAATTGTCCCCTCAATGCTAACCAACTCAGATCTCTTCTGTTCTGTGGAGTTAGCCATACATCGGGATAACCAAAAGACAGGGTTCCAATATATATAATCTTTTGTTGGTTAAATCCATTGGATCATTGAGGATATTGGACTAGTGGATCTTGCCAGCTTCTTAGCACTTTGCACTTAGCTAGGACAGCTTTGTAAACACAAAAAACAAACCCTTTTCAGCAAGCTTTAACTCCTCCCAAAACCTACCTATAAGGACTTCTTTTCTTCTTTTTTTTATAAATTTAAATCTTTTTAAGATAGAGCTATATTGGACACATTCTTGAGAGTCGATTTTGAAGACTCGTCCCTCACAAATTACACATCAATTAAAATCATACTATTAAAAAGAGTTGAATTTAGAATGTCTGAGTTTAATGTTCAAATCGAGAAAAGTCATCGTGTACATTGCTAGAGAAAGATATACTATGGGTGGGCTCGGATATGGTGGTCCACTCAGCTCAATTTTGATCTTTTATTTTATATTTTGTATCAAATTAGTCCAATTGATAGCACCGATTAAGTTTTTGAACGAAAATAGTCATTGAGTTGAATAAATTTATATTTTTGCCGATAGAAGCATAATACATGCAGCTTATGTGCATATTTTTTATCAAAAAATAGTAATAACTGTAATCAATTGGATCAAATTGAAACAAAATTATAAACTTTTGGTCAAAATCAATCCAATTAAAACTCTAAGAATTAAAATAATACAAAGATGAAAATATAGAGACTACTGTGTGATTTTACCCTATGATAATTAAAGTTATAAACTCAACATTATTATTTTTAATGTTGTAACATTTTTTTTTCTATATTTCCAACGTATCTTTAAAATTTGTTTTATAATATACGAGTTTGTTAGACGGCGTTATGTTTTTAAGATTACAAATTGAGCTTAGAATCAAATTTGCAAGCCCGATGTCGAGTTGAGCTAGTCTTTAACTAGATTTTCCAATCTCTAGTCTCTAGACCTAGCCCGGCAGATACCCAAGCCTAATACATGCAACACAATAATAATAGGGAAAATCAAAGCCTAACATTAAGTTTAAAATTTGGGCATATAGTGGTATGCATAGATGGCTCAACCAGCAGCATCTAAAGAAAGTTTCCACGTACCATCAATGCAAATGCAGAGAGCCATCATTTCAGTCTACATTTTTACTTTGTACCTGGACACTATGGAAAGCTTTTGCTCTGGGTGTCAGTGGTAGAGAGAACATTGAATGCTTATAACCCTCTATTTAGTTGGACAATGTGGGGGATTTAGAACAGGAAAGGTAAATACCCAGCAACAATGGGATGATGATGATGATGATGATGATGATGATGATGATCACAAGAAGTAAAAGCACAAATTTAAAAGTGTCTGATCATTCCATATATAACATGGGGGAGGGATTGGATTCTCTCTACAAACTTACCCTTTAGATCCCTTTAGACTTTGGGATTTGCAGAATAGATATGTTAGAACCAAGTAACGCGATCATGAGGCAATGTGTAAGTCTTAAGCTGTAAGCATTTCAAAATTTCAATTTTTATTGTATTAAGTAAATAAGTAAATACTTTTCTGTTCAAAGCGTCGAGCATTTCATTGCAAATAAAGAAACTTGCTTTCATTAAAGAAGTTCTTTTTTATATTTAAACTATGTATTAGATTAAATTAACAAGAGCTCAAGATAAACTTTCCATATGTATAATCCTCATATGTTTATGCATAAAAGGTGTACAAAATGCACTTAAGGCATACGTCTCAGACTGTAATCTACAAACCTTTAAAGAATGTTGCGAAATATTATCGTTGATTCACTTTCCCATTTTATGTTTACAAAAAATAGGAAATACGTTTAAAAATTTTTTTCTTGATATAAATAAAACTTGTTTGGTGTATAAAAATATTTTGGAAACAAATAAACATTTGTGGTGGCTAACGGTAGAGGGTGAATAGATAAGATGATTGTATGTGACTGTCGAGGTGATCAGAGATCACAAACGAAGACCTATCAATTGTCAGCAGTCGGCCAGCCAACAATGCTGGAGTTTGTTGAGGCGGGAGGTTGTGAGAAAGAGATGAGAGAGTGAAAACTTATTTTTAACACACTACAAGAAATTAAGGTTTTAGAGATAAAAATTTAAGAATAAAATCACTTTTTAAGGATAAAATAATTTTGTACCTAAAGTGTTATTATTTTATTTTTAACAACAAAATTAGACATTTAGTGATGAATTGCTGACATTTTGGGACCAAAACCTTTGTCTCAAAAAATAAACTTTTTTTAGACTTAGTTATTGTCTCTAAAAATATATTTATTAGCGATATTTTCAAAATTTTGTCCTTAAAAGCTTTTTTTTGACTTTTCAAAACGACATTTTAGCGATTATCTTTTTGACAACTAAAATTAGTCCCTAAATATTTTTTAAAACAAAATTTATACTTTTAGAAACAAAAAAATTTGGTTTCTAAAATTCTTATATTTTGTAGTGACAAATGAAAACACATTTCTTTCATTTTCAAAAAATTAAAAAATTTTGAAATTAGTTTCACTTTTTAAAAATAATAACAATATACCAAACACATTTCCCTTTTTTAGTTTAAAAAATGGAAATGAAAATAAAAATAAAACAAAACAAAACAAAAACACAAAATCTTACCAAACGATCTGTTTTTTTTTTCTTTTACGACCTATAATTCAGCTAACTAGCGTTTTTTTGACCCAACCTTTGGATTTTAAAATCTACCTCATAAACCAATAAACTGAGTAAATGCAATAATACTAACCCATTTTGTAAAGTATGCCAAGAATAACATTCACATAAAATAAATTAATTAATAAGACATGAGTAACTAGATAATATCATAAAATATTCTAAAAATATCTAATAATTATTTTGGAGCAACAAATTTGGTACAAAACTATTTAAATGGTGTCGAAGGTTCAAACGTCTCTACTTATAATCCAAATTGTCTGCTGCATGGTGTGTGTGTTCGTATTTGTATGTGTCTCTGAGGACAAAACCCTTCAAAACAACGATCCATTCCCCATTGACCAATAAAGAGCTTTATTCTCTGATAACGACCACACACTGCTAGGGTTTTTATCGTCCAAAACAC